GTCATAGGGAACCCGAAAGGGGCGTTGTGGGGTGCTAACACCTTCCCCACACGTAATCGACTCCCTTACCCAAACTCTGGTTGTAATGGCCAAAGTTGATTTGCGAAAATCAATTGCCTTATGTCTTTTTCCAATGTTTTGAGTAAAACATTGGTGGCGACTCCAAGAACCCCTTTTTGCGAAAACCACTAATCCATGGAGGGTCCCGTTTGGAATTAATACGGATTGGTGAGAATTATTTAACAGAATTGTTAGTTCGATGAGGTCTCAGTTTGAGAATAAGTCGTCCTAACAATCCATCATTTTTCAAAACTAAAAAGAGTCCAACCATCGTCGCGAATGCCAATGTCCGTTTCGGCGGGTGGCGACAAGCACCTCCCGACCTCGGTGGAACACCCACAGACCAACGGCCAAGCTGAAGTTGCAAACAAAGTGATACTCCGAGAGCTCAAGAAGCGCCAAAGGACAATGGGTCGACGAGCTCCCCAGCATCCTCTGGGCGTACCATTGTACCCCCGAATCAACAACGCAGGAAACGCCTTACAAGCTAACCTACGGAGCCGATGCCATGATCTCAGTGGAGGTTGGCGAGACGTCTCATCGACGTCAAGTTTTCGACAGTGAGAAAAACGCTCCAGAGAAAGTGATCAACCTTGACCTGATTGACGAGCTCAGAGAAGAAGCTCGGATTCATGAAGAGGCCTGCAATCTTCGAGCCTCTAGAAGGTACAACATGCGAGTCCGACCTCGCTCCTTCCGGGTTGGCGACTTGGTGTGGCGACTATTAGGCGACGCCCGCAAAGATTCGTTAGAAGGGAAGCTCGCGCCTAACTAGGATGGCTCATTTTGAGAAACAGAAAACTTAGAAAATGGGGCATACAAACTAGAAGAGCTCAGCGGTAAAGCCATCCCGCGAACTTGGAATGCCACGCATCTCAAGTTCTATTTTAGTTGAAATTATACGAATGAATTGTGCACTCTTTTCCCGACTCAGTCTTTTGTCCCAAAAAAAAAGAAAAATGGGTTTTGGCTGAGAGGGTTTTTAACGAGGCACAACCACGACATTAATAAAATGACTCATTTCATTCATGGCTTCTTAATTTTACACTGTTTCAGTATAAAATACTTTATCTTAAGTCAAGGTCGAGTTTGATCCTTGGTACGAGTTATCTTATCTTATTCTGAGGTTGAGTTCGAACCTTGGAACGAAATCTTAAGTCAAGGTCGAGTTTGAACCTTGGTACGAGTTATCTTATCTTATGCTGAGGTTGAGTTCGAACCTTGGAACGAAATCTTAAGTCAAGGTCGAGTTCGAACCTTGGTACGAATTATCTTATCTTAAGCCGAGGTCGAGTTCGAACCTTGGTACGAATTATCTTATCTTATGCTAAGGTCGAGTTCGAACCTTGGAACGAAATCTTAAGTCAAGGTCGAGTTCGAACCTTGGTACGAATTGTCTTGTCTTATGCTGAGGTCGAGTTCGAACCTTGGTGCGAAATCTTAAGCCGAGGTCGAGTTCGAACCGACTCAGTCTTTTGTCCCAAAAAAAAAGAAAAATGGGTTTTGGCTGAGAGGGTTTTTAACGAGGCACAACCACGACATTAATAAAATGACTCATTTCATTCATGGCTTCTTAATAATACGGACACACAAAAAGTTGAAGACACTTATCTCCTTGAAGACCTTGCTCTTGATACCAAAAATGATAGAAGAAGGAAGAAGAAGTGATAAATGATCCTCTCCTTTACTTCTCCTAAGCACGGATCCTCTTCAATGGAGATAACACCGAAGTGATGAACACTTTAGAAAAATGAAGATGCACGGATGGATTGAGGCAAAGCCTTGGATGGAAGCATCCAAGCTTAAAGAGTAAAGGATTGCTCACTTCAAAGAGAAGGAATTAAGGAACTCCTATGGTGTTTGAAGGCACTCTCTTGCTCTCTCTATTTCGATGACTCTTGAAAGAATTGCTGAAGATTTTGATTCAGAAATTCAAATGCATTCAAAAGTGTTTTTACAAGGTGAAAGTCACACATTTATAGGTGGGACAATTAGGTCAAGTGGCGCCAATCCGTGTAGCTTAGTTGGCGCCAAGTTTGAATTTCAAATTTGAATTTGAAATTCAAACTTAGGCTAACCAAGTGACAAATCCGGATGGTACCTTCATCCTAATGTCATTTGAAAGTTATTTGATGTGAATTTAGAGCTCACATGGCCGGATCCTCTCCATGCAATCCATGTGACTCAAATTCAAATCAAATTACTTCAAAATGACATAAAAATGAACCCTAATGCACCTATTAATGTATACTTCATATAAACCTAATCTAATGACCGAAATACATTGGTCTAAGAAATACAATGAATAGGAAAAATTACAAGAAGAAGAATGAGCCTAATATTGGGTATCAAAAGCCCAAAGCCCATGAAGCCCAAATACAAGCCCAAAAGCAAAAACCCTAATCTATGGTCAAAATACAAGACCAAAATCAAAGTAACTTCCTATGCTAAGAAATGCAATAAAACATGGTGTTTATGCAAGTAAGGTCCAAGTAAGAAGCACCCTAGGCCCACCAAGCCCATTGGGCCCACTAAGCTCTGAAGTAGACAAGTCTTCAAGTAATCTCCTGGCCATAGCTCTAGTGGTTGGGCCTTTAGCCCATGCTCTTCCATCACATTATGACGAAGTGTGTCCATCATTACATAACTGTTATCTCCCATTAACACGCTGCCCACGCATTTCAGAAAACGAAGTGACGGTTATGACACATGGCATCGTGATAAGAGAGGCGTACGCGAAGAGTCACGACCCCTTATCGAGCTCAACATTAACTCCTCGACCCACGGTCTTCGGAGCTTGGGGGGGCTAGTGTACTATCCGTACCGCCGAGCCGAGCTCTAGCTCGGCATCACAGCACAGATCGACCTCGGACACGCACTAGGCGACATCGGCTAAGACGAGGTCCGTTACCTAAATAGGTCATCACTGATCTCAGGCCCAAGGCCCAATAAAATCCTAATTCACACAAAGGTACGTGCATTATTTATACGAGACCCATACACCGCAAACACTAACTTTAGCATCAGAGTCTCTTTTGCAGGTACCACCCCCACCTTGGAGCAGTAAACGTACCCGGCGAAGGAGGCTCACCAATCTTGCCCAGCAGATCGTCTCTACGACAGATCTCCGGTAAGAACAGTTTCTAAGAGTTAAATTTCTTTTATACTTTTCATTTATTGTTAACTCTATTTTGTATGCATTCACTTATAACTAACATTAAATATGACAATTAATCACTTGAAAGTATTTGAAAAATAGTAGAATTAATTAAAAGTATGAATATTAATTACTTTTCTTGTTATTGATGATTTGTTCTATGTTACTTATAATTAAGACCAAATATAATAAAAAAAGTAATAATTATTTTAGACAAAAATTAATAAATTTTTAAAACTAATTAAATAAAAAAAATCTCTGTCTTATTAAAATTGAAGAAGACGAATAGGGATACAAATATCTCTTCTAAATATTAATTAAGTAAAAATGATTAATAAAAAAGAAAAATTAAAATAAAATATATTAAGAGTAATTTTATAAAATTAATATAAATTATTAAAAAATTTAATTCTTCTAATTAAATTAACTAATTTTTTTTAAAAAGATATAATTTAGTTAAAAGACTCATTAATTAAATAATTTATAAAGAAGTAGTATATAATTGATGAGATTTTGTTTTATTTAATTTTGTTCTAAGGGCTAATTAGATTTTATTAGAATCTATAACATTAATAAAAAGATATTTTAATTTGGTATCCTCGTTACTATTTTAATTTTTTAACTGTTTTATTCAACTATTTTAACTTTTTTAAAAGTTAATTGAAATAGCTAATTTTTTTAATATTTTATGTTATCACTAATAAAAATACTCATAAGATTTTTTGTAATAATATTTAATTAAATTTTTACAAAATTTAAATATAAAAATTAAAATAAAATTACTTGAAATTACAACAACTTAAAAAATTATTTTAATTTAAGATAAAAAAAATCTAATTTAAACACTAAAAACATATTAAATTCTTTTTTTTTTTTAAGAGTTACGGAGAGCTCGTTTTAGTGGTAGTTAGAATGTCTAAGATAGTAACAGACAGTTCTCTGATTTCTTTTCCTTTTCTAGTGTTCCTCTTCTTATCACATACTCGGACTTTTCCAAAGGTAAATCCTGGAAAATCGAAAAGCAGTGGTATGACTATGGTGCGTTAAGAAACGTGACTTCACGACTGTCTTTTCCGTAAAATTCTATCTGCGGTCTCCCAGCCTGGATCTGGCTGGCAATCCTGTTGCATTTCACATCTCACTCACTCCCACACACACACACATTGTGATACGAAGTGCGAAGTAAAAGAGAGAGACGATGCGATTTGATACGAACGCGGAACCGTTGGCGTTGCCACTGTTGCGAAGCAGAGAGAGTGAGAAGGAAGCATCAGCGTCAGGGAAGTCAAATGCAAATGCATCGCTGAGCGGCTCCGTGTTCAACTTGTCAACGACGATCATCGGCGCCGGAATCATGGCCTTGCCGGCGGCCATGAAAGTGGTGGGCGTGGCGGCGGGCGTGGGCGGCGTGGTGCTGCTCGCCGTCCTGACGCAGGCCTCGTTGGAGACTCTGCTCAGATTCAGCAGAGTCGCGAAGGCCTCATCCTACGCGCAACTCATGGGGTCCACTTTCGGGACTTGCGGAACGCTTCTGTTTCACTTCTCGGTGCTTATCAACAACACGGGGATACTCGTTGTCTACGTCATCATAATCGGTGATGTCTTGTCGGGAACGTCTTCCGGTGTGGGAGTTCATCACTTTGGGGTGCTCCAAGGCTGGTTTGGTCAATGCTGGTGGACTTCCCGTGCTTTTGTTCTTCTTCTCACCACGCTCTTCGTCTTTGCCCCCTTGGCCTTTTTGAAAAGGATAGGTACCACCACCACTACCCTCTAATTCACTTTCACTCTTGCTTATCATGATACGGATCACACAATTTTTTTTTTCTTTCACTTGTTCTTATTCTGGTGAAAGAAATTGAAAAGTCATTTAAGTTTAATCCTTAACTTTAGCCATGTTTGGATCAGCTTCCCCCTGGATACTAGGAAAGAAAATGAAAGGATTTAAGATAAAATTAGCTTGAAAACATATTTTGGAATTGGTTTATACAACTAATTTTAACTTTTGGAGAGTTGGTATGAGAGTTTCTGCAAAACAGTTTATGGATGTAATTGTAGTATTTGGCAAATTCTTATCCTATTTAAGTATTTAATTATTTTACTAATTTCTCATTTAATGCATGGACTCTGTTTAACTATTTCATTACTTTGTTTCCATTAGAATAGAATAGATGCTTCAGAAACTATATTTAAGAAATTTGTCTAATGTGATTTATGGTTATGTCGTCTTTATATATTTCTAGTTTAAAATTTACTCTGAAAACTATATATATATATATATTTATGATTCATGATTCAAAAATTAACTTGGCGATTTGAATCTCAATTTGATAACCTTGACCTACGCTGCACTACTTTGTTATGACTTCAGGCATGTTAGTATTTTAGGACAATTTGTATGTAGACAATCTTTATTTGTACTTTTGTGCCTGCAGATTCATTGAGACATACTTCTGCCTTAGCAGTGGCGCTGGCTATTGTGTTTCTACTCATAACTGCAGGAATCACATTCACCAAATTGTTTAATGGCAGTATAGCCAGTCCCAGGTTGCTTCCTAATATTACTGATGTTACATCCATATGGAATCTCTTTACTGCAGTTCCAGTTTTTGTGACAGCATTTGTTTGTCACTACAATGGTAAGCTGCCTGATTGTATTCTGCAATTTTAACATTTGCATCATGCTTTAATTTTGTGTTTCTTACTTGAGAATATGTTCAAACTGACACATTTCCCTTTCTAAAGACAATAATTTTGTTTTCCATTTCAAAATCCTAATTTAGGAAGTCTCCCCATTTCCATAAATGTAGAGAGATGAGCTAATAACACAAATGCTGTTACCTTATCTGTTCAATACTTTCTGATAAAATAACAGTATATATTTCCCGTTAAGTCAAGATTGCAAAAAAAATTTGTGAGCATATCTGAAACAGCATATTCTGCTTATCTTGACTCTTGACTTGGTGCAATATGTCTGGCTTTGGTGAACTTAGTACCAAGCCAACTACCAAGACAAACAATTAAAAAGTGACAAATAAAAAAACAGCAATTTTACCTCATATTCTCCTATATAAGGAAAACAAATATACAATTTACTAAAAATGCTAGTGGCAACGCCAGTTCCATTCACTCTTATGCTTTGAATAGTTACAATCACAGATGTACAATTTCTGTTTATTCTGCATGGTTGTGCATGCACATTGGAATAATGGCATTTCTATAATATTGGAATAAGGTTTTCATACTTTGACACTTTGTTAATATATTTCTCATTCAAATTTAAACATCTTGTGCTATTGATCGAATACCCATTGTTGGGTCCAAGTGTGATAATAGGGCTGAATAGGGCCTGAATCAATTGTTGGATCCAGGCCTAAAGTAACTCATGATCGGTTGATTTATAGCATAAGACAGAAGTGTGGGCCATTGGGAGAGAGGGAGTTGGTTACAATGCTGTCTTGCCAAGTTTGTTACACCTAGTTAAGAGTTTACTGGTAGGAATCAAGTTTGTAGACAGGGAAATCATTCCCTGATGAACTGGAGGCTCTGCTGTGAGACTTCCTTTTATTAGAGCTTTTATGTATATTTGCTTGAAAAATACGTATATCATGCACTTTATTTAGGGTGTTCTACCAGCTCTCACAAATTTTTATTTATGCTTTCTGTTATGCTCAGATAGTTGATATAACAAACAATAAGATTGAGCAGTGTTAAGTACTGGTAGAATATTTTTCAGCAAAGTTCTGTCCTCTCCTGTGCATGCAGTGCATACAATAGACAATGAGTTAGGAGACCCTTCCCTGATGCAACCAGTTATACGTGCATCACTGGTTCTGTGTTCTAGTATTTATATTCTTACAGCAATATTTGGATTTCTCCTATTTGGTGAGTCAACACTTGATGATGTTCTGGCCAACTTTGATACTAATCTGGGCATCCCTTATAGCAGTCTACTCAATGACATTGTTCGTATCAGCTATGCCCTGCACCTCATGCTTGTTTTCCCAGTCATCTTCTTCTCACTGCGCTTCAATTTGGATGATCTTATCTTCCCTTCAGCTAGGTCCTTGGATTTGGATAAGTGTAGGTTTGTCTTGATCACCACTGGACTCATTTCCTTAATATATGTGGCTGCAAATTTTATACCTAGCATCTGGGATGCATTTCAATTCACTGGAGCCACTGCCACTGTTTGCCTTGGGTTTATTTTCCCTGCTGCAATTGCTCTTAGGTGGGTTTTCTTACTTTATCTAAATGTAAATGTAGTGATCACATCATGTTTCATTATTGTTAATTTGATATGTCTATTTTATTGAAATCTTGTGATGAATCTTATCCATTAGTTGTTTTCTAGGGACTTTTAGCTTACACAACTTTTAGGATAAAGCTGAATGGCATTCCATGGGAATATAATTGGCTCATGTTGGCGCTTATCCAAATCTAGACTTTAGAATTAAGGCCTCTGGACTGCTATGATTTAGAACGTTTACTCCGGATATTGGATGACATTAAATTATAGAGGTGGACTTGTTTTAGTAAAACGCTGAATAGTATATTGTAGCACGTCGGTGGTTGAACTCAATTATGCAGGCCTGAAATTAAAAATTGTTGAGTTGCTATTTCCTGAACAAGCAATGATTTATATACAATAATTTGTACAATTCTGTTTTTTTTTTTTAATCTATTTCTCATCATCATTAATAAATGATGTGAAGAGAAAGAACAAAAAATGTTGTATAAAATTATTTTACAAGTATCATTTCCCTTCCTGTACTTTTAATCCATGCTGAATTGCTAGAAGTTGATCATGTTGCTTCTGTATGTAATTTTTCAGTAATAAACAACTATTATATTTAAATTGGTTTGAACTTTAAATATAGCTACATAGAGTCATTTCCCTTACTCATCGATATCTCTGCTATTTTAGGGATCCCCATAGCATTGCAACAAAGAAGGACAAGATTTTATCCATTGTCATGATTTTTTTGGCCGTGTTCTCAAACGTTGTGGCTATATACAGCAATGTCAATGCCTTGTTCAGAAAACATGTTGCTCCTCACCCATGAGTTACGTGTTGCCTATATTAGCATTAACAGAGAGGATTGAAATACACACTCTTGGCCTCGGAAAATCCAGCAGTCGGATTAAATTGAAATACATTCACATTCTTGAATGAATGGGAATTTTTCAAGGTTCACATTGCAAAAGGTTTTTGGAAGTGCAGGTGAAAGTGGAAGACTTTGATCAAATTCGGAGTACACGTGGAAGACTTTGATCAAATTCGGAGTACACGTGGAAGACTTTGATCAAATTCGGAGTACACGTGGAAGACTGTGAAATATGGATATTTATGTGGTACTACAATTAATACTTTATATTTCTCAAAGCCCTTATAGGGTGTGCCAATCTAGATTGGTATCCATGTCGACTTCTTTTCAAGTTATCCTTGAATAATTGTTTTTATTAATAGTAGTATACCTACCATGAAGTATGCTTAAGTGATTTGAATGATCACTATTTTTAACGGATATAGTTTATTTTTTATAATATTATAAAACAAAATAATTATCCGTTCCATGATTGAATGAACACTATTTTTAATGGATATACTTTGCTTTTCCTAATGATCACTCAAAGGAACTTTTTCTAAAAAAATTATTTAATCCTTAATAAATGAAAAGTGAAAACAGTTATCATTATGTTTTATGTAAAGGAATTGAACTCCGTACTAGAAACTGATTATTAGATCCATCAAATAGTTATTATTATTGTTACTGTTCGTTCTTTTGATAAGTTTTATTTAATCCAATATTTAGAAACTGATTAACCAATTGAACTATATCTATGAGTCTCACCTAGCGTACTCCTGATAGAGACTCAAACTATTATCTCTAGTAGCATGTGTTTTAAGCTTTAACAACGACTTAACTTCCATTCTAACTAAAAAGAAGCTTTATGGCCGGCTTCGTTTGTGTTAGGCCTAGTACCACGTCATCAATCAATGCGGGTCAGCCTAACATCACAATTTCTACACGGCCCAAAAGAAACAGTCATCAACCTAGTTGTTTTAAAGATTTAATGTAACTAGACTAAGAGGGTCTCATATTTATAGCCGTTGTGTTTCTTTATCGTTATTCCCTTCTGTATTATCTGTATCGCTATACCGAACTCGAAGTCAGCATCACAGCGCGGAGTGACCTCGGACACGCGCTAGGCGACATCGGCTCGCTATCCAATTAGGTCATAAACTGATCTCGGGCCCAAGGCCCAACAAAATCCTAATTCACACCAAGGTACGTGCATTACTTATACGAGACATATACTCACGCAAACCCTAACTTTGGCATCGGAGTCTCTTTTGCAGGTACCACCCCCATCTTGGAACACCAACGTACCAGCGAAGGAGGCTCACCAATCTTACTCGGCAGATCATCTCCACAGCAGATCTCCGGTAAGAACATTTGGCGCCCACCGTGGGGCCGATCAAGACAACTCTTATCGGCTACGCTTATGGTTTTCACCAGAAGCCATAGCAGACGCGCAACAAACAACCTAGATCACACAACTAACATGGATAACGAAGCAGCATTGAGACGACTGATCGAGCAGGTCGAGCAGATGCGGCAGCAACACGCCGCAAATTTACAAAGTATGCGTGCCAAGCACGAAACTGACCTAGCCGCGATGCGTACCGCTAATGAGGCTGACCTAGCGGCGCGAGAACGAGCGTATTCGCGCTCAACTCCCTCTGCGTCCCTCTGATCAACCCCCTCAACAAAGCAACCTGCATGAGGAGGAAGGGCACTCGATTTCTCAACCGCCGACAGCGGCTAGGGCACCAACCCCCAGGCCTCCCACACATCGGTCTCACATACCGCCCAACAGGTCGACACATGACGTAAGCAACGCTCCTGCCCACGTCACAGGAAATCAGGCGACCTTCTGTCGTCATCCTTTTGTGGACGACATCATGGAAACACCTCTGCCTTTCGGTTGGAAGCCCCTCCACATCGACCATTATGACGGCACGACGGATCCAGATGAACACATTGACTTATACGTCACACAGGTAAACCTATACACTAATGAAGATGCTATTCTGTGTAGGGTTTTTCCAACCTCGCTCAAGGGATCGACACTCGCCTGGTATACCCAATTGCCAATGGGATTAGTCGATAGCTTCGACACTCTGGTGAGGCGATTCACGGTGCAATACGCAACAAGCCGACCTCATCACATCACATCTGCCGCCTTGGCCAGTCTCAGACAGGGTGACGAGGAACCATTAAGGACATTCATGGAGAGCTTCGTTGGCGTCTCCGTCAAAATCTGTAACTTAAACCCTGAGGTCGCACTGCACTCCATGCTCATGGCCGCCTTAGCCGCGGCCAGCTTGTCAAGGTCTGCCCTCAGAGCGAAGGCCTCCTCTTCCTTGCCACTAAGAAGCACCTCGTCACAGAGATGCCTCTCAGCGGCTTCCCCCAGTTCAGCCTGCAGTGCCGAGACCTCATCTTCGAGGGAGCGCACCCAACCCCGAGAGAAAATGGAGAGCTCCTGAAGTTCACCAACTTGAGCAGCGTAAACTTCATTAGCCCTCAAGGCGATCTCCAAAGACTTCTGAGCCCTCGCAAGATCCCTCCTCGTAGCTTGAAGCTCAGCCTCATTCTGCCTCTTGGCCTCGCCCAGAGCGGCCCCCAACGCCTGATTCTCCTCCTCCAAAGGCTGGACTCAGCTTTTCGCTTTCTCGAGGTCCCCTTGCAGCTTCGACCACTTGTGCTTCCAATGGTCCATAATAGTAATCGACTGCTGCATGAAGGCCTCTGCAGAGTCGAGGCTCTCCACTGGCCCGACCTTCTCGATCATCGCCTTATCAGTCAAACGGAGCGAACCCCTCGGGTAGAAGGTCTCAGCAGTCACCTTCGAACTCCACAATGAATCCACATCTGATGACGTGCTCACGTGGTCCAACCTCGTCAAAGGGCGCTCCTTGTCGAAACGTTCAGCAAGGAATTTCCCCTTGGGAGCCTCCTTCGGAGGACGAGACGGCGGTGCAGCGGCTACAGGATTGGACGTTGTGATCTCAGAACTTGGCCCCTCTTTTTGGGCCTTAACCGAAAATGCATATGATGAGTTTAGGAGCTTTCCACACCTAGATCAAGAAGAAACCACCCAAGAGTACAAGAGTCCAAAGAAATAAAAACTAAAAATGCACAATTAGGAAGGCTAAACTCAAGTGGGGATAAATGTGACAAAACTTAGGAGTAGAAAGAAGACACCTCCTGCACAAAAGAATGCTTCATAGTAAACTTTACAATATAGCATCATTGGCAATCTGCATAGCTTTCCCTATGCATACATCTAATCCTAAACCCTTAAAAAGATATATATATATATATATATATATATATTGGATTTGTTTTTGGACTTGGTAAGGCTTTGGCCCAAGTAAAAGGCACCTAGGATGCATGGTCTTATCATGCACCTATACGTAGCTTAACCAAACCCAAAGATTCCATCCTTGGCCACCAAGTAGCATCTAGGTTTAATTTAGGTTTCATTTGAAGTGCATTTGGCTTTCATTTTTTGTACAAGGCACTCTCAAATGCAAACCTAATGCTTCCTTCCTTCTATAAATACCCTAGGCTATGCAACTTGTAATCACTTTGGAATTTATGATATTAAGAGAGCCTTTGAGCCTTAATATTCTTTCCTTAGTCCCCTTGGTCATTTCGACCACCTATCTTTCTCATCTTCACCATGAGTGTTCTCACCTTTAGGAGTGGCCTTCATCAATCAATGAAGTGAGCCAAAACCCTAGAGTACCACCTTAGCATTTCATCAAACACCTAGCCTCCATAAACACCATTCGCCCATCTCCATCACTAAGGCTAGAAACCTTGAGTTCCATGATCCAAGAAGTTCGGTCTTCCCTCTTTGATGCTCCTAACTTAATCCATGCAAGGAGGGTTGATCATGTGTATGATAAGAAAAATGATGATCATGTGTTTTTATTTTATAATCTATTAATTTTTGTCATAAGAGTATGATTCTCCCTAATTTTTCTTGAAAGAAAATTCCAAATACACATGCCTAAACACTTTCATGATCAAAATATGATATGCATGCTATATGTTTGTTGAAATGGTCGTGGGATTTAGAGTGCTTTAGAGAGTCTATCATGCATGCTAATTAGTCCTAGCATGTTCCTTGATATTTAACAATTCATGTGTGATTTGTATCTTTGTACATATTGCTAAATTCGGCCATCTTGCTTTCTTTTTCCATTTGCACTTAATATGAACATGTTTTGCTTGATAATTTGAGGATGAAAACTTCATTTTTTATAATTAGAGCTTTTGCTCTCTATAAGGATATGAGGAATTTTTCGGTAAATTAGCTAGTCTTATCTTTACTGTAGATAGATTAAAAACACCTATCATTGATGTTTTCATTGCGAGGTGTTTTATATATAACCCTTTAAATGTAGAAATTTTCTTCATCTATCATGGTACTATAAATCATTTTGAGTTGGCCAACATTCCTAACCTTAATCTTAGATTAACCGATAGTTATTTAAATTGTATGATTGTTGGATGCTATGGTATTTTATTGAGTGTTCTATGGCTAAATATGGAGTTTTTATTTCACGAATTATATTATAATACTTTTTGTCAAAAAAAAAAGATACTAAAAGGAGGTTGAATAGTGTCTATAAAAAAATTACTTATTTGAAATGGAGTTGTTACATAGGTCCAAAGGAGTGTAGATGAAGTAAAGAATATGAGGTATTATTATATTAGTTCGTCTCAACTACCAAGAAAACGCTAGTTCTTGATCAAGTTTCACTATTTTTACAAAGATATAAATATTCTTTCACAATTCACTTTCGGGTCAATCTAAGTATTTTTTGATTTGCTTCTTGAAGCAAACTATCCAAGTATTTTTTTAACAAAAAAGTCTCTCTAAATTTCAACACCAAGTATTCTTTAAACAATAAATCTTCTCCAAGCTACAAGCTAAAATACACAGTTTAAGTAGAATAAAATAACAAAGTCTTTATCTTACTCATAAAACGTGATAAACTTTTACTTACAAATATTTACAAAGAAAAGAATGAATAAAATTTAATCAATTGAATCTTTCTTCTCTATAAGGTTCAAGCTCTTTTATATAGTTGAACTTTGAAGATGACCATTGCAAATCCTTGAGTAGCATTTGTTGACATGCCTCATCTTACTTCGTCTTGCTTATTTATAAAGCTAGGTTTTTGTTGGTTTAATAAATATTTACATTAAATTTATTTCACCAAATAATCACTTTTTATCTGACTAAGGATGTTACTTATCACCTTTTTGATGCAAAAGGAAAGAAACTAAGGACATAAGCGAGTCGAGTTGAGTCAGGTTTGGATGAAATAAGAGAATTGAAAGCAAATCAAAGAAAGAATTTAATATTTTGCGAGAGAGAATTTGAGAGGAAAATCTCATCCAAACTTAGATATATGCTCAAAAGTTCCTACAAAAT